TAGTAAATTGTGTTGCATTAAGGCCAGATCTTTATTATCTGGTAGAGTTCTGGCTTTTATGAATTAGAAGTAGCAAGTACTAGGTGTGATGCTAGTTGTTTTGTAGGATGAAACCTTATTTGCAAGCTTTTTGAAACATGCAAATGTCTACAAACCCTGAAGCCATGTGTTAATTTGTTCTGGGGCTTCTATTTTTCCTCCAGTGGAAGAAGGTTAATTCCCTACCTTTGTATAGCACCTTTGTAGTCACTAAGGGTATGTCTACACTTGCTCCCTAGTTCGAATTAGGGTTGCAAATGTAGGCGACTGAAATTGCTAATGAAGCAGGGATTTAAATATCCCGTGCTTCATTAGCATGATCTCGCCGGCGCATTACTCCTCTCAACAGCTGTTTCAAAAGTGAAAGTGCGCGCCAGGACACGTTAGTTTGAACCAAACCCCTTGGTGCGAACTAATGTTACTCCTCAAAAAACACTTTAAAAATGTAAACTGATTAATGTAGCTGCATTATTATAACTGATAACACAATGTATGCATATTTAAAAGATAGTGAACCGAAATGTAGTATACTAGTATTTGCTAGTATTTTCTGTTAATTTTGGAATAGTTTGAAATATTTTTATAATGAATTGCCAGTAATTCTAACTTGTCTACTTTTCAGGTCAGTTACTATTTCCCATTGAAAACTTTATGGAGGTCCTTTTTTGCTGCTTTAGTGGCTGCATTTGTTTTGCGATCCATCAATCCTTTTGGTAACAGCCGTCTTGTTCTTTTTTATGTGGAATACCATACCCCTTGGTACCTTTTTGAACTGTTTCCATTCATTCTTCTGGGAGTGTTTGGTGGACTGTGGGGAGCATTTTTCATCCGTGCAAACATCGCCTGGTGCCGCCGACGCAAATCAACAAAATTTGGGAAGTATCCTGTCCTGGAGGTCATCATTGTTGCAGCAATAACAGCTGTCATTGCCTTTCCTAATCCATACACAAGGCTCAATACCAGTGAGCTTATTAAAGAGCTCTTCACAGACTGTGGGCCTTTAGAATCCTCCTCTCTTTGTGACTACAGAAATGACATGAATGCCAGTAAGATAGTAGATGATATTCCTGATCGTCCAGCAGGCACTGGAGTTTATTCAGCCATATGGCAGCTGTGTTTAGCACTTATATTTAAAATAATTATGACAGTCTTCACCTTTGGTATCAAGGTAAGTTTGGGTGGGAGTTTTTGTTGTTGTTTTTTGCTTGGCTTGTGTAAAGTAGCTCTCCAGTAATAAGAGTCTTAACACGTCCCGTGTATTCTAAATCTTTACCATGAAGTCGTTTTATTTCTGTTGTAGGTTCCATCAGGTTTGTTCATACCTAGTATGGCAATTGGAGCAATAGCAGGAAGGATTGTGGGAATTGCTGTGGAGCAGTTGGCTTATTATCACCATGACTGGTTTATCTTCAAGGAGTGGTGTGAAGTTGGAGCTGACTGTATCACGCCCGGCCTATATGCCATGGTTGGTGCCGCTGCATGCTTAGGTAACTAAATTGTAACACAACAAATAAAGGCATGATTCCTTTTCTGTTTCTGAACTAGGTAAGTTTTGATGTGAAGGAAAAAAGTTGTACTTATTAAAGCTGAAGTACAATATGGAAGAGTTTCTTATATAGTTATTTTATGTTAATAGGAAAATGTGCAGGAAATCATTGTGAACCAAAGACTAAAAAGAACATGCTGTCATATTGGGTCAGCCCTAGGAATGTAAAATCTTGATCAAAGGGGGTGCAGCCCGGGAGGCTGCTCCAGCCCAACAGGCCACGCTGGAGTGGCCCCACCCACCACAGCTCTTGCCTGTGGAGCACCCTAGCCCACTGCAGACACAGGCTTCTCCTGACCAGTTAACCTTTCACATCCCTAGTCAGACTAATGGTTCATCTAATCCCATGGTCACCAAGCCATCAATCAAAATCAACTGGTCGATGGGGAGAGCTCGATCAGTCGATCGCACACGTCTGAGCCCCCGCCATTCTCCCCCATGCCCAGAAGAAGCCCCCCACTGACTCTACCTCCAATGACTATGGAGGTAGTGCCGGCTTCCTGCAGCTTGTGGGGGCAGTCCCGCAGCTGCGCTCCACTTCTAGGGTTTCAGGAAGTGCACAGGCTGCTCCTCCTCCCCCAAACACCTGGCGCATTTCCCAACACCCACCAGCACTTTTTCCCCTGCCCCAGCACCCATCAGCACCCTGCCACCTACCCCAGCACCCTGTCCCAGCCCCCTGTCCCCTGATCCAGCATCCACTAGCACCCTGACCCAGCACCCTGTCCCCTGACCAAGTACCTATTGACACCTGACCCAACACCCTGTCTGCTACCCCCACCAGCACCTAATCCTTACCCCAGCACCCACCAGCACCCTGGTCCCTTGCCTAAGCACCCTACTATCTGTCCCAGAAACCACCAGCAGCCTGCCCCAGCACCCTGTCCCCTGCCCTCACCATCGCAGTTGGGGCCACATTAATGAGGCTTGTGGTTTTTTGAAGGGGTTGGTTTTTTGCATCTCACTTGTGTGACCCCCAACTGACTATTCTGTGGGTCAGTGACCCTGACTCAAAACATGTTCCCTGCCTCTCTCATAAATAAAGATAATGCTGAAACTTGTTGTGTTTGACATAATATTTTATTTAAAAATGAAGCCTGGCCAACAAGCCCCCAATTGGGGCCAAGCCCCCATCTGGTTGCAGCATCATAACACTCCTGTACCCCCCCTTGACCCCAAATCTTTGTACTTTTTCCCCTGCCCCAGCACCCATCAGCACCCTGCCACCTACCCCAGCACCCTGTCCCAGCCCCCTGTCCCCTGATCCAGCATCCACTAGCACCCTGACCCAGCACCCTGTCCCCTGACCAAGTACCTATTGACACCTGACCCAACACCCTGTCTGCTACCCCCACCAGCACCTAATCCTTACCCCAGCACCCACCAGCACCCTGGTCCCTTGCCTAAGCACCCTACTATCTGTCCCAGAAACCACCAGCAGCCTGCCCCAGCACCCTGTCCCCTGCCCTCACCATCGCAGTTGGGGCCACATTAATGAGGCTTGTGGTTTTTTGAAGGGGTTGGTTTTTTGCATCTCACTTGTGTGACCCCCAACTGACTATTCTGTGGGTCAGTGACCCTGACTCAAAACATGTTCCCTGCCTCTCTCATAAATAAAGATAATGCTGAAACTTGTTGTGTTTGACATAATATTTTATTTAAAAATGAAGCCTGGCCAACAAGCCCCCAATTGGGGCCAAGCCCCCATCTGGTTGCAGCATCATAACACTCCTGTACCCCCCCTTGACCCCAAATCTTTGTACAAATCATACACTGGAACCCCCTGTCCTGAGCCTCTCACATCCCCAGACTCCTGTACCCCCACGTCCTCAGTCTTCTGCCACAACACTCCTGCACCATCCACACACTTCAAATCTGTGTCCTGAGCTCATCATACTCCCAACCTTCCTGCTCTGAGTCCCTCACACAGCGCAACCCAAAGTCCTGCGCCCTCACATCCACAAGCCTGTGGCTTGCTCAGCACCCCAACCCTTCACCTGACCCCAACACTCCCCAGTCTGGAGCTCCCTCCCCAAGCCAGCATTTCCTTTTCCACATCCTCCTGCATCCAAATTCCCTCCCAGACCTCTCACCCCGTCCCACACCCAAATCCCTTATTCCCACCCCAGAGCCTGCACCTCCTGTTTCAACCCAGCGAGGGTACAGCTAGACTACAAGACTGTATCCAGGGATGCATTTGTTCTTCCACTTCTTTTAGTGGAAGAGCAAATATGATCTTTCGGTCACCCCATATTCCTCTTTCCACGAGGAATAAGGGGGCTTCCAAAAAAGGGTTTCTTCCAATCTTGATGGGCCAAATGTTGGAAAAACCTCTTCTGACAAAAGGATAAAAAAAAGCAGCAGTGTAGCCGTACCCTTAGAGTATATAAGGACCGGATATAGCAAATGATGGAGAGGAGGAGAACAGAGAGGGCAGGGCTTCAGGGAAGGGGTGGGTTTTAGGGAAAAGATGGGGTAGATCTTGGCTTGTTCTGACATTTAAAAAGTGATTTTGGGCATAAAAAGGTTGGAGACCACTGATCTAACCCGATATTGGTTATTCCAACGGTGACCAATGCTAAATGCTTCAGAAGAAATGAACAAGGATGCAACCCTAACCAAGTTGGCTAATACCAATGGATAGACCTTCCCTCCATGAATATACCTACAGGATTTTTTTTCAACCCAGTTATACTTTCCCACATCATCCATGGGAACAATTTCCACAGATCAAATGTGCACTGTGTGAAAAAGCACGTCCTGCTGTCTATTAATTTTATTGGGTGACCTCTGGTTCTTCTGTTGTTTGAAGGGGTAGATAGCACTTCCGTATTCACTTTCTCCATGTCATTCATGATTTTACAGACTTTTGTCATATCTCTCCCCCGTCCTCTGTTTTCTGAGATGAACAGTCCAAGTCTTTTTAATCTTCATTTGAAAGCTGGTCCATACTCCCATTTTTGTTGCCAGGGTCTTTACCTTTTCTATTTCTAATAAATCTTTTTTGAGAAAGGGTGACCAGAATTGCATTAAGTATTTAAAGTGTAGGCATACCATTGATTTATATAGTGGCAATATGATTTTTTTTGTTTTATTATCGTTCCCTTTTGCTAATGATTCCTAAAGTTCTGTTAGCATGTTGATAGGCTCTTTTTTTCTTGCAGGTGGTGTGACAAGAATGACTGTCTCCCTAGTGGTCATTGTATTTGAGCTGACAGGTGGACTGGAGTACATTGTGCCCCTCATGGCTGCAGTGATGACCAGTAAATGGGTGGGTGACGCTTTTGGTAGGGAAGGCATCTATGAAGCGCACATCCGGCTGAATGGCTATCCTTTCTTGGATGCTAAAGAAGAATTCACTCACACAACACTGGCTGCTGATGTTATGAGGCCTCGGAGGAGTGATCCACCATTGGCAGTGCTGACTCAGGATAACATGACAGTGGAAGATATAGAAAACCTGATCAATGAAACGAGCTATAATGGTTTCCCTGTTATAATGTCGAAAGAGTCTCAGAGACTAGTGGGATTTGCTTTAAGGAGAGACTTAACTATCGCAATAGGTAATTATTTTACAGTTCTGTAAGATGTATATGTTCTCACTCAACTGTATTAATACTTTAAAACTGAATTTATTATTTATGTCTTACTTTTGTACATGAATGCTTCATGTGTTTTATAGTCCAGAGATGTAGCACAAGCTGTTGGTTCCTTTCACATCACCTTGATCAAGATGCTTAGAACTTCTTTTTACAGTGGTGTCTTGCAATAATAGGTTCTGAAACTGGACACAATTCCATAAAAACCCTGGAATTGCTACACTGTGACAGACTAATTAAACCATCTAGTTCAGTACTCTTGTCATCTTCCGCAGTGGCCAGTGCTAATTTCTTGAGAAGAAATTATGAAATCCCCCACAAGACCTACCTGTGCAATGTACCATGGAAGTACTGTGGAAGGAAGAAAGGTCATTCGTTGCCACTGCCATACTGTTTGTGGCTTTGTACCAACACTTCTTCACCTGAGATGAAACTTCTTACAACTTCAGTGCTCCTGGAATAGGGGCTTAGGGTGGCTGTCTTGCCTAGTGGTGGGATTCACTCAGTTTACCTCCCATACTGGGGATTCCTCTGTAATCTCCCTTGACCAGGAAACTAGTGCTTACTTCCAGATGGCTGCCTGGCTGGCAGGCCAGTGTTCCATCCTTTCAGGCAGGGAGTCAGCTAGCTCCTACCATTTCACTAGCTCCCAACTGAGCCAGGCTCCTGTTTTTTTTAAATCCCCCCTCAGGCCTGGCATTGGCAACAGGTATAGTGGGGCAAGGCTAAATGGGACTAAAGTTTTGTTTAACCCCTGTTGTGTTGGCTGGCAATCTCTGTTTCTTCATAGCTCCATTATTATAATTTTCAAGCTGCAGAGTTCTCTGAGAAATATTGCCTGAGTCACCCCTCTGTGGGCACCTGAACATGACTTCAAACTTAATATAAAATCTTATACAAATCTATAAACCCCTGGGCTGTTTTATTAATTTTGATTCAAAAGGTAGAAAAGTTAGACCAAGTTTTAGCATTACAGTCATGCCAAACAGGTGGTTTACTTGTAAATGTCTAATACTGTAATTGATTTTTGGAGTTAGTTTCATGTCAGAATATCAAGTTCTGCTTGAACCCTCTAAAATACAGTGATTCAGTGTGGTATTTTGAATGTACATATCATAAAATTGGAACACAGCAAAATTATTCATTTAAAGAGACAGGCTTATGTCAGAAAATGGTGTAACTATTATTCTTGTAGTTAACTCCTAATATTCCCTGTAACTGAAAGTCTAGAAGAACATAAGTTATTTTAAAAACTATTTTTTCAATCTGTTCTCTTGAAATGAAATTCACCTGTGCAGGTGGCAGAATACAAATTCTACATATAATACATATGATTGTTATCGAGGTGCTGATAAGCTAGTATTATCTACCTCAAAATGTATATGAAAGTCAAAATAGTTGAATTTTAAACTGTCATCTTTCATTTACTTTCTAGAGTACCTGGTAGTAGATTACAGACAAAGATTTATCTTCATAAGAATCTTTTTTCAGGCAAGATTCATTTTAGCATCTAAATTACATAGTGGAAATTATTCAGTCTTAAATTTGTGCATCAGAAGAATCACCGTTGGAAATGATAGGCGTAGGGAAGTTTGTCCAAAATGAGGGAAGACTTTGAAAGGGTATTAAGATCTGACACAAATAAGCAAATTACACATTTTCACAGAAACAGAGAACATTTGCTCAGCTTTAACTAATATAGCTAATATATGACAAACCTTGGCAGCGTTACTGTCTATTTGTTACATGAGACTGCATTCTTTCTGAACTATTCCTTCCACATGTAGCAGTCAGCATTATGTGCTTCCTCCACATTAGATCTTCTCCTTCCCTTTATTGTTTGTTTAATTGTGTTAAGGGAATGCCAGGGGATGTACACAGTAGCCACCTTTGAAAAAAGAAAGATCCCTATGGCATGGCACAAATATTTGAGAGCAGTGAACAAGCAACATGAAACAAGTCATATTGGTTAATTTTTTAAATGGCACCTACTGTATATTAAGTGCTCGTTAGGCTTCCACAACCTATCTCAGGGAGTGACAAGGATGTTCAACTTTCAATGCCTCCTCTCTACTCTAGATTTGAAGCTCAGTTGATGGCATTTTGTGACTTTCCATCCAAACAGTTAATTCCTTGAAATGCCTACCTTGAACTTTCCTCGTGTCATATGAGCACTCCCTCAGTCTCCACTCAATAATGTGCTTTGGCTTCTGCAGCAAATGAGTATGGTAACAGTAGGACACTCAATGTGAGTGCACACTATTGAGATAGTCCTCACGCTCTTATGAAACCATCTGTTTCTGTGCACTACACAGATAGTGGCTGCCTGATGTTATTACGTAGCATGATATTTCCCAATGTGCATATTTGAGATCTTTACTAAATTACACCAAAAGTAGTGTCTGGCTATAAATTGTATAGTAAATAGCTCCTCTTCTTTGAGTGATTGTGCATGTGCATTCTAATATGTGTCTGTGTGCCACGTGCACAGTCATCAGATTTTTCCCTAGCAGTACCCGTTGGGTCAGCTGTGGTATCTTCTCTGGTGATGCTTCACAATGACACATATATACCCTTCCAACCTTCTTTCCGCCAGTGACGGTCACTGAAGCTTCTGACTTCTTGCTTTGCAAATAGTTAGTGCCTAGCACAGTGGTCACCAACCAGTAGATAAGAATCTACTGGTAGATCTTGGAACCTCTGACAGGGGATCCTAGCTGGTTTGGCCAAGAGGTTATCAAGCCCAGCACTTCAGCTGCTCACAGACTGCTGCACATCTCCTGTCCTTTGCTTTGGAGCTGCCCCCTCAGGAGTCTCTGCTTTCTGTTCAGGGCAGGGGAGGGGTGCTGATATGAAGATCCCCTCTCCCACCCTGTGACCTATCTCCCCAGAGCGGAGAGGGGGCACAGCAGGTCTTGGGATAGGGTTTGCTGGCTGCTTTTGGAAGTGGTGCAAGGTCAGGACAGGGGTGAGCCTACCTTAGCCCCATTGCACCACCACCCAAGAGCCACCTGAGATAAGCAGGGCCCTGCTGGTGCCCACATCCTGACACCCTCCCCCAGTCATGAACCCCCTCCTACACTCCAAGCCCCTTCCCTAGCCCCAAGCACCCTGCATCCAAATGCCCTCCCAGAGCCTGCACTTAGAACCTCCTCTGGTACCCCAACTGCCTGTCCCAAGCTCAGCTCAGAGCCCCCCTCACACTGCAGATCCCTTAATTCAAGACCAGAGCCTGCACCCCAACCCTCTGCCCCAGACTGGTGAAAGTGAGGAAGGATGGGGAAGGGAGGGAGAATGGAGTGAGCAGGGGCGGGGCCTCGGCGAAGGGGCACAAAGGAGGCGGGGCAAGGGTTTTTGGGTTTGAGGTAGATCTTGGATTGCACTTAAATTCAAAAAGTGATCTCATGCGTAAAAAGGTTGGAGACCACTGCCCTAGCATAGCATTCCTTTGTTGTTGTTGTTGTTGTGTGGATTAGTTGTTTCCTTCAAGTTACTTAGAGTAGTTAGTTTTTACAGGAGGTTCCCCCATCCTGTTGTTTATGCTCCTGGGGCATGGAGCTTCCCCCAGGCTTTCAAGCAGTATGCAAAGTGTAGCAAGTATATGCAGCAGGAGTTCTCAGCTTTTCTGCATGAGGGCCACATGTCACTAAGATGGCCCTCCAGGCAGCCTTGGATTCTGAGGACTCGGCAGCTAGCATGATGACCCTGGCCATAGTGATGAGATGTAACTCATGGCTGCAGATGTCCAGTCTCCCAGCAGAGATGCAGCGCACAATCCAGGACCTGCCTTTCAATGGGACAGGCCTGTTTGCTGAAAAGACACATTCCCGTCTGCACAGCCTCAAGGACTGCAGGATTACCCTGAAGTTCTTGGTTATTTACACTCCAGAGCCTCAGTGCCACCATTTTAGGCCGTATCGCTCTGTGGGACCTCTGCATTCCTCACAACATTCAACTGCAAGCCTTGTATCTTCTGAGCATGCAGAGCAACCTTGCAGATTGTCTCAAATGGTCTGCTCAGTCCCATGAGTGGTACCTCAGGGCAGACATGGCTCTCTCCATGTTCTGCGAGTGGGTCCTTTCCCAGGTGGACTTGTTCATGACCCGCCTAAACAGGAAGTGACTGAGGTTCTGCTCCTTTTAGGGCCACAGCCAGGGAGTCTCTGTCGGAGGCTTTTCACCTGTGCTGGATGGAGTAGTACCTGTACACTTTCCTTCCAGTGCCATTAATACTAAGGATCTTCCTCAGAATTCAACAGGACAAAGTGGCAGTGATACTGATAGCACCAGAAGGCTGAGGCAGCACACAATCACTACACTGCTGTCCCTGTCGGTGACTGGCCCATGATGCTCCCTCTGGTTCCCAAACTGATAATGCAGGAGTTCGACAGGTTGTTCCACCCAAACCTCATGGTGAGGAAGCTCCATGACTAAACCAACTTGGACTCAGTCAGGGAAGTCTTAATAAGCAGCCACAAATCCTCTTTTAGGGCTACTTATCTCGCCAAGAGGAAGAGGTTCTTTTTGTGGTCCCTCCAGCAGAACACAGTTCCACTGCTTTTGGGCTACCTCCTTCACCTCAAATACCAGGATTTGGCTGAGACAGCCATGAAAGTACATCTGGCAGTTACTTTAGCTTTCCACCTAGGTTTGGGGGTAAAGTCCATCTTTGGGGATCTAGTGGTGAGCCGTTTGCTTCAGGGTCTGGCGAGGCAGATGTTACCGCCCTGGGACTTGAATTTGGTGCTTTCTCAGTTCAAGGCCCTACCATTTGAGCCCCTGGCTACCTGTTCTTTAGCCTATCTTTCATTCAGAGTGGCCTTCCTGGTAGCTATTCAGACAGGTGTTGGAGCTGCCAGCCCTCATTCCTGAGCCCCCATATATATATATATATTATAAGGATAAAGAGTAGCTGTGGCCCCATCCTGCATTCCTGTCAAGGGTTGTGTTGCCTTGTCATGTAAATCAGGATGTCTTTCTCCCTATTTTTGTCTCTAAACTACGTGACAGGGATAGGGCATTTCACTCCCTGGCTGTCCAGTGTGCCCTGGCCTTTTATTTCTAATGCACTAAAACATTCCACCAGTCAATGCAGCTCATCATCTCCATTGCAGACTGCATGAAGGGCCTTCTGGTTACGTTGCAGCACCTGTCATCCTGGATCACTACGGGCATCAAGCTGCACTATGACTTGGTCACGGTGCCGGCCCCACCTATCACAGCACATTCCACACAGGCGTAAGCCTTGGCAACGGCCTTTCTGGCACAAGTCCTGATTCAGGACATCAGCAGAGCAGATTCATGGTTCTCAGTTCACACCTTCACGACCCATTACACCCTCCCCCAGCAGTCCCAGGATGATGCAGTGTTTGGCAGAGCTACAGTGCACTCAGCAATGAGTTGAAGTCCGACCCTTCCACTGTACAAACTGCTGAGTCACATATCGGAATGCACACGAGCAATCACTTGAAGAAGAAAGAATGGTTACTTACCTTTGTAACTATTGTTCTTCAAGGTGTGTTGCTCATGTCTGTTACAGACCCTTCCACCTCCCCTGTTAGAAGAAGGAACTGAAGTGGAGGTTGGCAGGGGTACATATGTGACTCTGGGAGGTGTCACCACAGAGGGCGCCAGAGCTGACCCACCAGATACCACTAGAGAAAAGTCTTCTGACGATCATGAACGTGGTACACGCACATATTGGAATAGACATGAGCAATGCATCTTGAAGAACCACAGTTATGAAAGGTCTAAGTAACCGTTCTTTCTGCTTGTTTTCTGTCAAGTGCATGTAGTGAAGAGAAAAGAGGTGATTGTGAAAATAAAATTTCAGAATAATACACAGGATGAAATCTGGTTGCAGTCTGATGACATTCATTGTACTTGCATGTTACGCTAAATACTTTATAAATCTAAGTGATTTTTCAACCTATTTTTTCCTTCTCTTAATCATAGAAAGCGCTAGAAAGAAGCAGGAAGGTATTGTTGGTAGTTCCAGAGTCTGTTTTGCCCAACATACCCCATCACTTCCAGCAGAAAGTCCCCGGCCTTTGAAACTTAGAAGCATTCTTGATATGAGCCCTTTCACCGTGACAGATCACACACCAATGGAAATAGTGGTGGATATTTTCCGCAAGCTGGGTCTGAGGCAGTGCCTTGTAACACACAATGGGTGAGTACAGATCAGAAATACTGTTAATTTGGTCAAATGTAATACTGGAGACTAGTGTAATATGCCGACAACTTAAATTGAATTCCTATGTGATTCAGGCCTATCACATTTAACCACCTCATTGCAATCTGACCTCAGCAATGGAGAGCCTGTAGTTGAGCCAGAATTTGAACTTTTGTGGTCAATTTTAGTTGCTAATAAGAAATGCCACTTAAAAAGCTGTACCTCTCTGAAACTGTTCCAGCAGAGATAGCCTTGAAACAACGAATTCTGTCTGAATGCCGTTTTGTGACAGATCACCATTAGGAACTTAAATTGCATGCAAATACAAGGGGAAAGCTCATTTAATCTCTCTCTCTCTCTCCCTCTGCTCCCCTTTCTCTGTGCCCCTTTTCTGACATTGTCCATTTGCAGCCAGTCAAAAATGGACTGTGTAGAGCAAAATCACATGGGGAAAAAATCAGTTTTATTTTTACCTCTCTACAGCCTTATTTTTTTGTTTTGAAATAACAGATATAAAATTCAGGACAATGGGATGTTTTCTTTCTTCTCACTGGTTTCCTCATGAGGCAGGGGGTAGGAGTATCTGGTTTACCGCATTAGCGGCTTTGTAATGAGCTACAGCATCTTTCTTCTCTTGTGAGCCAATAAATAAAAAAGTAATTCTCCATTTCCATCCATGTAAAATTATCTATACTCTATTTCCATACACTCTCTAAATTCAAATCCATTGTGCTTTGTTTTAAAGAAAATACAGAATGGCTATAAGATTTTTTTTGCAGGTTTTAAAGCCCAGAAAGGAAGCATTATGATAATCTAGGATGACCTCCTGCATAACACAGCCTATGGAACATTGGCCAGGCCCAGGGCTTCCTTGGATTAGAGCTGATCTCTCTGGCTCTGGAAACCAGGGCAGTACCCATAAGCCATCAAAGATCTGGGCACAGCCCTCTTCACTATAGTTCTTTCTCTTCTCCACGCCCCCAGCATGTGTCTACATTGAAATTAGATGAGCCAGCTGACTGGCTATGGGGCTGTTTGATTTCAGTGTAGCCATTCATATTCTGACTGCAATCTAAGCTCTGGGACACTCCCATCTCAGAGGGTCCTAGGGTCTGAGCTCCATCCTGAATACTAGTTAGGGTTGCTAGGTGTCCAGTTTTCAACCGGAACACCTGGTCGAAAAGGGACCCTGGCAGTTCCAGTTGGTGCTACTAACCAGGCCATTAAAAGTCTGATTGACAGCACAGCAGAGGCCCGCAATTAAGGCAGACTCCCTACCTGCCATGGTTCTGCATGGCTCCCAGAAGTGGCCACCCAGGTCCCTGTAGCTCCACACTGTCACCACTCTGCAGCTCTCATTGGCTATGAATTGTAACCAATGGGAGCTGAGGGGGAGGCACCTTTGGGTGTGAGAGCAGTGCATGCACAGAGAGACCTTTTGCCCCCATGGGGCCGCAGGGGTTTTGTGTCTGCTTCCTAGCCATAGTATGTGCTATCGGGACCCTGAATTCCAATACCTTACCCCAAGCCAAAATCCCCTTCTGTACCCAAAACTCCTCATCTCTAGCCCCATCCCAGGGTCCATCCTCAGCCGCAGTCCTTGCACCCCAGCCTAATGTCTCCTTCTGCACCTCTGACCCCACCCTAGAGCCTGCATCCCCGCACAGAACCTTTCCCCGTCCCAGAGTCCTCTCCTGCACCCTGAACCCATCATTTCTGGCTCCAGCCCAGAGCCCACACCCTCTGCCAGATCCCTCAGCCCCCTCGTAGATCCCAACCCCCAGCGTGGAGCTCGCTCCTGCAACCCAAACTCCTCATCCCTAGAGCCCCTGCTGCATGCCAATCCACTGTCCTATCCTGATAAGAGAGTGAGGGTGGGGGACATAAGAACAGCCATAGTGGGTCAGACCAAAGGTCCATCTAGCTCAGTATCCTGTCTCCCAACAGTGGCCAATATCAGATGCCCCACAGGGAGGGATCACAGCAGATAATCTTGTAATAGCATATGCCTTTCCTTCCCCTTAGCTAGAATGATTTTAGATGTAATTAATATATCAGAACACTGAGTTCCAGCGATTAGAGATTTATTGCCAGTTAAGTTACCAAAACATTTTTCCTGTTTGAGGGGACTTGACACACCGATCCATGGTATCTAAGTTTACTTTTTATTGCAGGGGTGCAATTCCTTTAATATTAATTTCATTTGATGACCTCTACTGTATTTCTTATACAGGCAGTCCCCGAGTTACGCGGATCTGACTTATGTCGGATCCGCAGTTACGAACGGGGCTTTTCTCGCCCCGGAGGACGGGAGCGGCGGGACGCCCAGATGCGCCGCGGTCCGCCGCCCCCGCCTTCCGGGGCGAGAAAAGCTGGTCCCCGTCTCCTGACCAGCAGACCAGGGAGATGGGGAGCAAAGCCTCGGAGCACGCCCGCAGTGGGACAGCCACGACGCGCCTGGGCTGTCCCGCTGCCCGCGTGCTCTGTGGCCTTGCTCCGTGCCTCT